TCAAAGCATTCACTTCCCTGCCTCCTCAGATCGAGCCTCCTACCCTTTATTCCCACCCTTGCCCTGCATCATCACCCTCTTCCGACACATTCTCAGGGCCTCAGAGCCAGAGGGAATTAAATTTCCTAAACATGTTGGTGGTAAATTTAGGAAGAAACCCACATAGTCACAGGATGACCTTTCTGCCACATATCTTTTGACCACACTTTTCCATTAGAGCCCTTGGACTCTTACCCACCAAAGGAATTGGGTCAGTACAGCCATGGGGCCAGAATGAGACTTCTGACTGGTAAATTATGGGTAATATTTGGTGAGTGTTCAGCTAGTCAACAAAGACAAGCAGCATTCTGAGACAATGTTTGCCTTAAGGCTGGTATTTCAGAGACTGGTCCTGACTTCCCACCCTCCCTCTGACCCCAAACAGAAGTCCCTGAGTAGCTTGCACTTCGGAGCCAGACTTGTTATGATTTTCATAAGATTTGCAGCCCAAATTCACTGAGTGCTGATTTTTGGTAAAAATAAAAATATATGGTATGATGTGAGTGTATGCATTGTAATAGGTTAGAAGGATTGACTTGTTCTGCAACTTCAGTCAAGATCTATGTGGCATTTGGATCCAACCAGTGACCTGTAACCATAGCTTCAACCCTGTTCCATGGACACTGAGTTCACCTGCCTCTGCTGTTCAATTTCCATTACAACCAGAGGGCTTGGTAGCATCCCAAACAAAACCTCAAAGTCCTTCTGGCACAAGCTTAAAAGAAACTTTGCAGCCACAGATCCCTGGCATCCTTGATTGCAGACACCTTGGTGTGATTTTCAGACCCAGGAAGGATTAACTCCCTGACTCATGTGCTTTGACCTTTAGCCCATGGCCCTTGATGTTCATTGCTTTTTTCTAGAATCACCTGCATACAATTAACTCTATGGATGCCTGACCCCCACCATGGAGTAGTGACTAGAAACTCTGAGGTAGTGCCTGGCTTTCAATGGCAGCCAGAGGATTCTGCTTCATGACCAGGGAGAGAACTGCTGGCTGGACTGTGAGCCAGCCTCTCAGAGACACAACTATCATTGATGTCAGCCTCAGGTAGGCTGTGTGCTGTTCCCCTTGTCCTGACCCCAAGGCTACAGAGGAGGGAGGTCCTGTGCCACAGAATGGGATCAAGGGGCAATTCTGCCTACTTATGCAGGAGACAGAGATCAATGATTGAGAGAAGATAGAATTGGGGTCGGAAGGGAGGGAGTGAGAGAAGGAAGAAAAGCCTAAGATCTATTGCTAGGATGAGATTCTCCTTCACCAAGTACTGCAGGAACAGTGACCCTCAAGTGTGACTCAACAGCAGGAAGCAACAGGTGAAAACATCCCAAGCTGAGTCTGGGTGGTGTGTGGGTGCCTTGGACTCTCCCATATGCTCTGCCATCAGGCCCCCTCGTGGGGACCCTCTGAGATTTGTTCTGAATCCTCTTCAGGGCCAGGCTGCCTAGACACAAGCAACCACCCATTGCTCTTAACTAGACACTTTTCAAATCAGTTACTCTGGTATAATTCAGCCAAAACACTGGCTTCTAACTGTGGACTTCAAACTAGTGTCTTGACCCATTTCACACTACCAGTGTACATATTTAATGCCCATAGACTATGACAATGGTTACATCAAAAAGCTGCCATTACAAGTTACATTTGCCAGGAGACAATCAGGTCTCAGAAAGAGGCTTCAAAACAAAACTCACAGAAAAAATGTAACATATGCTCAGAGGAAGGGAACCTGCTCTTTTCAACTTTACCTCTTTTTTCTACATCCTTGTGGATTCTCCTTCCCTGTATTACTTAAATGAATTTTCATTCTATAAGACATTAGCTATATTGACACCATTTTCTCAACAACAACAAAGACAAGCTTAAGAACACTAATCCAGTTCATGCATTAATTCAGACAATACTAACCTGCCCCAGTTATGTTCCAGCCACTGGATACTACAGTGAACAAAACAGAAAAAAAAAAAAAATCAGCTCACATTTTAATGGGAGACAGAAAGGGAGAGAAACAACCCAACAAAACAGAAGTTTCAATTGATAAATAAATAAATAAATAAATAAATAAATAAATCAACCAACCAACCAGGAAAGGATGAGAGGTGGAGAAGATTGCGTAGTGGTCCCAATTTTAAACGGTAATGTCAGGAATGGTCCCCTGGAGGGCTGACCAAGTAACAACCCTTATTAAAGAACAGAACACTTGAGCAATGGAGGGAAAGATAAATCCATAGTGCACTTTGGGGCATGGGTAGCTTAGGGTGTATTAGGTCACCCAAGTAAGTAGAAAGACCATCAGCTGGATTCAGAGGTAGTATCCTGGCACCAATTAATAAGATTCTAATCATCCAATTTAGATGTGTAAGTATTTATCCCACAACACCAAGCCATGCTCTAATACCAGCTGGGTGTCCTATAATTTAAGTCAAGTTTGACACAATCTACCTGGCAATAGCATCAGACCCAATAGGTTAAGGACTCAATCCTAAAAGACATCACCCCCCCACACACACACACACATACATCAGATGCCAGTCACATGTCCAGGCTATCACATGTGCTTCTGACTACCCTGATAGAAATTGGAATTTCCAGTGACCCACCCCTTGGATTGATTAATTTTCCAAAGTGATGCATAAAACTCAAGAAACATTATCATTAAATGACTTATTATAAAAGGGTATAACTCAGAACAACCAGAAGGAAGAGATGTACATGGAAGGTGTGGAGAAAGGTCCCTGAGTATCCATGGCCTCTGCAAGTAGACTAATCTCCAATCATCAACCCAGAAGCTCTTAGGACCCAATTCTGAGATTTGGGGATTTTATGGAGACTTCATTACATAGTCATGATTGATTAAATCTTTGGTCATTGGAGACTGATTCAGTTCCCAACTCCTCCCCTCCCTGGAGGTCTGGGTGGGTGGGACTGAAATTTCCAACTCTCCCATCACAATTCCCTGGACTCCTTTGCTGTGGGTCCGAAAGTCACTTAATTAACATCACAGGAGACACTTTTGTGCTGTCATCACTTAGGAAATCTCCAGGGTTTTAGGACCTCTGTGCCAGAATCAAGGACTAAAACCAAATACACATCCTGTTATAAATCAGAACATCACAGGACTTAAGGTGGCAGTTTTGAGCTGGAGCTATCTGGTGGCACTGTGGGTGCAGAGCTGGTATTAAAGTAACCAGACTGGACAAGACTCTGAGGGAAGGAACACACCTAGAAAAGAGGTACGAGGCCTGATCCTGGGTGAACCCCTTAGGAGA